AATAAGGGGAAGCGAATAGTCCGCGAAAGCCGCGTGCGGCGGATCGATTACCCAAAACCATTCCTACTGCCCGTCTCCCTACATTTACCATTAGCACTACCTCCTGGTTAGGTCCTTCACTCCCATGCTGATGGGTGAAGTGGGTAAAACGGTTGCGATGGTTTGTTGGAGTAGCCACTTCCTTCAGTGTTCTCACGTCCCAACAAGATTAGTCTCCTTCAGAAAGTGGGAACTGTGGAACGAACATGTGGCACCTGGCAAAGTGGCAGAGCAGTCCTATCTTTTTCATCTCATAGCAGTACTGAAACGTCCTGCCAAGTGAGCCAACCTATCGTCATTATCTCTGATCCCATGCTTTCCTTTCGAAATCGTTATTGATGGAAGAGATCGGAGTAGTTGAGTGGAAAACTGCTGTCTGTGATTTCATATCTTCTTAATTAGCATTCCAGGAATAATTGGCGCACTTTTTTGAATTTTAATTATATTGATAGTATAGAATACTCCTGCACTTTGGATGGAGAACTAGAAATTGGCATCAAATGGGAAGTTCATGTTTAATTAGGGGGAATCGCAATCAAGAACACTCTCAATAGCTGGTTTTGATAGCTATTTCTCAATTCGTCAGAGTTTCTGAAAAAATGCCTCAGAAACTCCCAAATAGTCGTGAGTTCCAGTAAGGACTGGTGGTGCTTGACAGCTATTAGTTTGACTACCCAGAAAGTGTGAAGGGAAACGAAATTCCCTCATGTTTCTGCATGAGTGAGGTGATGTACTTTGCCGTCGACATGGCCGGAACGGCATTGTTAGAAACTGCCAGTCAACAAAAACTCAGCGGCGGAGGTGCGTCAAAATTTTCCACACTGGGACTTCCGTCTGCCGTCCTTTCGTCTGACTTCAACTGCTGATGCTTACTCTCGTCCTTCAGCCTATTCCCAACAACGGCTTGGGAGTCTCAGCCTTCGCGTGGCCGGGTTGGGAAGCTTTTATGGGACCTAATATCACCCGACACGATGAAGTACAAAGCGATTGTCAGCTCGATGCTCCCATGGATCTTTGAGAGCGAGGGGCATACGTAGCCTTGGAATAGCCTATTCATCCAAAAAACACAGAAGGAGAGAAAGCTTTGAAGGTTGGAGATGAATGGGGACTTTTTATCAATCCACTCTGATTGCTCCCAGGAAAAGTCAAGCTGTCCAGCTTGATTGCGAGCACGAGGTGCTACCACTTCCAGCTTGTTCTCTGTTGGAAGCCTCCAATGGAATCCAGGATGTGTTAAGGCTTCATTTTTCCTCGCTCGGACAATTTCTACGAAGCCTTCTTTCGAAAGCGTTTCTAGAAGACTAGAGTACTCAGATTCCTTGAAGCCTATTCCTCAATAGCCGTCCCTTATGTGGACTATTATCGCTCCCGTGGGGCCTTACTCTAGAGCCGTCTGCTATCAGATAA